AATGAGGAAGCATCCAAGTAATAGGGAGAGTGCTTTAGGTAGGATTTAAGATAAAGAAGACAACCACCCCCACGCCTAGTCGTGCGGTCTTGGCGGTAAAAATCGAAGTCATCTATGAGAAGGGCAGAGTCAGGAATTAGAGAATGTGTCCAAGATTCTGTTACACATATAATATCAGGCGTCATTTCCAGAGCAATGGCTCTGATTTGGGCCATCTTGTTTATAACAGACCTGGCATTCAATAATATAATATCTAATGTGTTTCGAACGGCAATGCTATTTTCGACGGTATTTTAAAAAAAATTGGAGGCGGATATGTAAGTTGCGAATTAATGACACTTGGAGAATAAGTACCAGTTAATTTAGAGTTATTGACGTATGGGGAGTCAGCAAGAGAAGGCTGAGTATGAGACCTAAAGGAGGTGGGGATATAGTTTTCAAACATTGGAATGCTAGGGGAGTTAGAACATGGATAGACTTGTTGGTAGTTAAATAATGGAGGAAGGGGAGGAGGAGGAGGAGGGAGGCTAGAAGGAAAGTAGGGGCTAATGGGTGAGGGTAGGCCACTAAAAGAATGAAATTGTGGGAAACCAGATCTAGATTGGAAGTCAAAGGAGATAGGTTGACGTACCTGAGAGCAATTGGCCTTAAGTGGTGGGAAGCCTGAACTAGGTTGGGGCATAAATGATTTAGGGCAATTCATGTATGAATTAGTTGCTGGATATATAGTAGGGCTTTGATAAGTAACCGGTACGCAGGACAGAGAATTATTCGAGGATATAATTGGAGCTGCCGGATTTGTAGACGTGCTGGGCTGAACAGACTTGTTAGATCTAAGAGAAGGCGTCGTACCTCCAAATGGAACTGTACTACCTTTCTTTTGGGTCGGAGTCTGATTCAATTTTCGAGTCTCACCGTTCTGACGCCAAGCCACTGGTGACTTAGCTGTAGACCTTACAGCACCCAGTTGGACAATAGAAGTTATCGGTCTAGCTGATGTAGACGGATTTTCATGTGTCTCAGCGGGACTATCCGGAGTATACGAAACGACAAATGGGGCTGCTGCTGCTGCTGCTGCAGCTAGTTTAGGGGCAGGCAAATGCGTCAAGTGGTTCGAGTGAGATGGAGATGTGGGAGAAAGAGGAAGGAGGGAGTCAGATGTCGCAGGAGTAGGAGAAGCTGAATCCTTACGGCCACTTTTATTATGACCGACTTGGGGAGCATTAGACTGAGAAGCAGTAAGTTTACGTGAGAATAGAGACCCGATTCTACGCTCCATAGGAGTACGATCATGACAAAGGAAAAATTTTGCCTTCTCTAGGTACGCAGTGACACGCTCTCGATGAGAAAAGATTGTGTCAACTTCGATTGATGAAAACAATTTGACTAAGATGGGTGGATTTGTACTACGGGAGGACAAGCGTTTGGCATCAGCTATTTTATAGTTGAAACCACATGAATACAGGAAACTGGTCGCAACATCAATTGGCCGAGCAGATCGAGGAACATTTTTTAGCAGGAAGTTGTAAGAACGCTTCTGTCTATCACTAGATTCACTGGCGATCAGGTGAACAAGTGAGTCGAGACGCCTACATTCTTCAGAGGGAATATCGGAGATGTTCCCGTCGAATAAATGTCCAAGAATTGTCAGCAAAGAGCCAAACTTTAGCATAAAGTCATTGCAGTGGTCAAGTGCAGACAGATTAAGCTGCCGACCAATTACAACGGGTGACGACTGACTAGTAATATCATCTGACTTAGATTTAGGTAAAGCTTCTGACTTACGTTTAGTTAGGACATGTTTACTTACAAGAGCCGAGAGCTTACGTCGACCAGTGACTTTTGGTCTCATCTTGTCTCGAGGCAATTTGTGATTAAGAAAACTTCTGGCAGACAAGTTGACTGAATTTCAGCTAGGGGCTAACGATGTAAAAATAAATTACAACAGTTAAAGGGAAATCGGATGCACAAAATGAGAATTGCAAAGTGCGATTAGTGAACAACGGGCATAGACTAGCAAAACTCGAAAGGAGATGGCAGCGGGCAGTTCTTAGAGAAGAGGCCTGTATTTAAGGAAATTCAACCAAAAAACAGGTACTAAAATCGTTAGATCTCACAGAAAAACCGCTAAAAATAATATCCTCCACTTATCTTCAAATTTAAAACCAGCGTCCTGACCTTGACCTAGTGCCAAGAAAAATCGTAACCCCATTCCAACGCTGGGGTCTCAGAACTAAATAATGGAGATGGGTGACCAAACTCAAGCACCAGTCCTCTTCGACTTCTTTCAGTTGGCATTCACTCATGAAAATAATCCTCTTCCGCCGCCCTGCCCAGGACGACAGGAAAATTCTGCATCGTTTGCATTAAGAGGTAGCCTTTACTTCGCGCCTTAATCGATAAGGACAGAACACCTCAGGTCAAGCCTGCCAAATCCTCTGGTCCAAATGGTATTCATTAACTTACCTTTCGAGAAGTAGTCCCCTTACTGTACTTGCCGATAACTGTGAGATTTCAAAAGTTCATGGAAGAAAATTACCCGACGAAAGAGTGAAAATTTGCCATTATTCCCCAGTCTACAAGGGACGGTCCAGGCTAGAGTCACAAAACTTCTGTCCCACTAGTTTAACCTGCATTTTATACGAGGTCATGGAACAAATTATGCAAGGGCGTTTAAGTACATATATGCAGTAGTGGAACCTAAACTGTGCTGCCCCACACGGAGATCGTCGTGGTCATTCGCGTCTTACGAGTAGTCTTTACTCGCAAAAGCCATAGATCATGGCCGTCCAGTAAATGCCATCCTCTTCGACTTCAAAAAGGCGTTCTACAGCATGCTACATGGGCGACTCCTACAAAATACTTGACGGTGGGGAATCCAGGGCAGTATCTTTAAATGGATTACAATTTTCCTGCTGTGCAGATTTCAAAGTGTAATTGTTGGTACCATCGCATCCGAATGAGCCTCAGAAGAAAACGTTGCCCCATATGGTTTGGTCTTAAGTCATTTCCTCATAATGACTGTCCTGAGGACTTTGACTGCAATGCTATGATGTTTGCAAGTTATTTGGAAGTCTGGAGAGCAATTGGCTGTGCTGACGACGCGCGGAAACTGCAAGAAAACGTTGATAACATTTAGTGCATCCAGATGTGTAGTCTTGCGCTTCGAAGCCGGCAAAGGAACTTTCTCAGAACACCTCTATGCAATAGATGAGATTCCACTAAAATAAGTGAATACGAACAAAGATCCATGTATTTGGACAAGTTAAAACCTCCTGCCCTCCGAACATTGCACAATAGCCATCCAACTGCCAACGAGCACCATGCATTGGATTAGAACCGCTTTCGTAGTCTTGCTTTCCGAATTCATCACGAGGATCTTTGGTACGTTTATTAAACCACATCTGAGGTGTAAAAGGCCAGTGTGAATACTATGGATGAAGAAAGACAGTGACTCCGTCGAGCAGGTGCAACGACGAGTGAAAAAACTGATGGGCAGTCTTAGAAATCTGCCATATCCTTAAAGGCTAGTCAAGTCTAAACTGTTCCCTCTATCATACAGACAACTGGGTTGCAACCCGTTGTGGATATTCCGTATTACCTGCAACATGACTGTTCGCTCAAATCTAAAGAGTCCCGCAAGCTTATAACTATGAATCATTTGAGCTGGCATCTGCAAAAGAGCAAACGTCAATGTACGCGTCCAGACTATTGGAAGTTTTCTTTCTGCCAACGGGTGCTTCGACCGCCGAGCTCAGTCACAAGTAAAATAGTGACATCTGATATGATGGTTGTATTCAAAAGGCAGCTGGAGTGCTTGATGTTTGATAAACGATGACTCTCACTGCTGGACTGTTAACGAACAACCATGGACTTTATTTCGCGATTTCATTTTCTATGTGAAGCATCCCGGCACGTCTGAAGTAAAGTGTTTCCATAAACTTTACGATTTACTGTATTTTGTGCTTTATTTATTTATTTATAATCCCAGCTATACATGCAGAGGGTCCCCAATGGCTCTGTCTGTAAATCTCAATTACATACATGCGACGTAATAACTGCTCGGGGCCACATTCGATCACGAGTGGCGTATTTCAGGGCACAGTTCTGAGTCAAATACTCTGTATTCTTTAAATGAACAACATTTCAACATTGTTCCGAAAAGCGCGAGCGTTTATACGTGATGGCAACCTGAAGTCTGTTTATTCATTTTTTAAGGTAACTGAAAACGTTTGTGTTGAAAAAATTAACTCCAATCAGCCTTTGCTATCGAAATGAAACTCTACGTGGAAGGTAGAATTTTCTCCATCGAAGTATATGTTGTGTATTCTGGCCCCGCCGAGCTTCCTGGCACCTTGATCTTTAAAAATAACCCTTATCTAGTACGCTCCACCGTAAAACTTCATTACACGTTTGTCCTCCCCAATCGTCGAATACTTCTATCCTTTCTATGGTCCAGTGACCGCCAGTGACCACAGCAAACTGGAGGTCATAGACACTTATAAGATTAAAGAAGGGGCAGAGTATCTCAAAAATGATCTTTTTCGCCCACAACCTTTCGTTTCGATCTTTACGATTTCTCGTCGTAAATGGGGTGTTCTGAGTCGTGAACTTCTGAGAAATCAATGTCCTCCCAGCCCATCTCCCTGGAAAATCGTCATGATTTCATAGCGCACACGATTTCAAGAACTATGAACCAACTCTTTTCATTTTTCTTTACCTCGTGGATCAAAAAGCACAAGAAACTGCATTGAATGCGTTAACATCATCCAGTTGATAAGTCGTCTCATTCTTCCCTAACACTAGCCGCAACCAAAATTATTCCCAGTAGTTTTGCCTTTTTGAAATCGCTCTGAGTAAATTTAGGACAGGTCAAGATACAGTATAATGCAAGATGGAAAAACATCCTCATCTACCAGTCGAACGAGCCATGTTTTTAATTAGCTACAGAATGCGTGTCTTTTCGAACAGCCCAGTAAAGTATTGGACGTCGTCCGGTAATGGCTTTCGCCGGCTTCAAAGATATATTTGTCAAACAAAAGGTGACATTTTCTGTTTAACCTACGAACTTATCCTTTATCCCGGCTCTTCACGCATTTAATATTTTTTCTTATATTTTCATGTCCTGCCGCTCCGACTCAAATGTTCTTTTCAATTTTAAAAAGAGCATATATATGTTCTGGTCAGAGGACATATCCTCTGACTCAGGATTGCTTGAGAATTTTCTTCAGTAACTATCAGCAGCTCGCCTGCTCGATTTTTCCTGAAAATTGGCACTCTTCCGTGGTTCGCGTACCTTGTTGTTAATTGGCTTTATACCATGCATTTCAAGCAGACATATCTGCTTACCATACAGTGCCTGATCTCCCCGCTGCTTAAGGGACTACAGAAGGAAGTATGAGATATTAGGATGTTGCAGATCCTTTCTCGGCATCTAAAATTAATACCACGCCTTTTACCTTTGATCCCTATACTAAACCTGCTCATGGTTTTTGGCGGGTTTGAAGTTCGCTATTGCCATTGTTTTCTACGTAAGTAGTTTCAGAAAACTTATCGAAAGTCTCGGAACGAATTAGCTATTGCCAAGAACATTTGGGACGATACTTGCAGAACATAGCGTATTTCCCCTCCTTCCCGTAGACTACGAATTAATAGTCGATAAAACCAGTTTCTCGATCTGCCTTTTTTCTACTTTGTAGACTTTTCGACCGAAAAAGAAATTTCCCCCAGAAACCATTCGGTATCATCTGCACAAGCAGGCAGAGGCCTCCTTGAGTGCCGGAGTCGATTTACGCGAGGCAGTCAAGAAGCCGGCTGACGAGGAACTCAATGACTGGATTGCGGTTCATGGTAAGATAATAAAAGTATGTTGGAATTCATCTCCTGTGCCTCCCCTTTTGCTGCAGTAGTAGATTTTTACAATCGCATCAACCTGATTTATGGCACAATCTGCGATCGTTGTACAGCAGAAACCTGCCCACGTATGACTGGCGGCAAAAAGTTCGAGTATCATTGGCGCGACAACAACCGCTATCGAAAACCCACCCCCGTCTCTGCGCCTGAGTATATTGGCCTGCTGATGGACTGGATCGACGAACAAATAAATGACCCCGTCCTGTTCCCCACCTCTATGGATGTTCCATTCCCCAAAAATTACCGCAGTGCTGTGAAGAAGATTATGAGTCGTCTTTATCGTGTCTTTGTTCACGTCTACATCCACCATTTTGACAGGCTAATGGAGATTGGTGCGGTAGGCCGCCTATGATTCCTGATGCTAACTGTCTTAACCAACGTATTTAGGAGGCGCACGTTAATGTCTGCTACAAGCATTTCTATTATTTCGTCACTTACTTTGATCTCATTGATCCCAAGGAACTGGAGCCCCTGGTAAGCTCCTCCCGACTTTTTTTATAAGGAATTTCATCAACCGACTATCCCGAACTGGGCTAGCGTTTTGATTTTAAGAACTACGTTCAAAAACTTATTTCACGATACAGTTGCTTACCTCCATGCCGGCTCCGAAATCTTAAAAACTCGATTTTTCTTTGGCGCGCCTAGTTACGTCTTAGTAGTTAATCGTTTCCACTGCGGATGTCCACGTGGCGAGCGTCCTCTGCCTCATGCACCTGTATGCGATAATCGGACCTTCTTACCTCACAAGTTTTCTTGAGGTTGTTGAGCAAACCTTATATTAGTGGAAACTGGACTTCTCAAGTTCGGCCTGAACGTTTATATGATGACCATCTAGTTGTAATCGAACGTTAGTGCTTCTCGCACCTGATCTTATGATGGTTCTATTCTTCCGGAATTGTCCCCAACAGAACAGTACTTCAGATACGTTTGTCGCTTAGAAATGTACCCGCTTAGTGAATATCAGGATAAATACTTGACTCCGTAGATGCTGTTAGAGTTACGCCGTACTTATGTCGGAAGACTACCCCCTCCCAGCTCACCAGCAGCGACTAGGTCGATACAACCCCAAGTATTGTTTACGGTAGTGTCAACATCCAACTGTAAAACAGTTGTATCACGTTTGCCCGAGAATCATGCATACCTCTTTGCTACTTTTGTTTCTGTGTTTACAGCGAGAGCTTACTCAAAGAATCTGTAATTAATTGGTGCCTACCCACGCTTTCCTGCTCTCTCGACGCCCGCGGACTCCAGTCCTCATGCGCTCACCAATCTTCCCACTCAAGGATATTTTGCCTCCTTATGCTCGTCGAGTTTTCGCCTCTCCTGGTTGCCGCTCTGTTATTGCCGCCCAAACAACCGTCAATCCCAAGGGGTAGTCGTCCTGCGAACGGTCTGACTCACTGTTCCTTACCTCCACATATTTTAACGTCCACCGTCCGCCGTCGACTGCCCTTTTTGCATTAACAGGAGCCGTATCTAAATTCTGCTCGGCCATAAGTAGAATACGATACGACCACCGCCGCAGCCAGTATAAGTGTAACTCTTATTTTTTATAAAGCCCTTTTCTGCCGCTGTTTCAGACTTTTTACCTCCTCTTCATTATCACTCTCGTTCCTCCATTTATTCTACTACATACCGGTATTTGAAAGGTCGCCAACAATGACAGAGGAGGCTGAGATGGTCACTTGCTTATTTACTGTTGTTTTACAGCCAAACTCCAGCCACAGGCTGGCAAATTGAACTTGGGTTCAGCTGGTCATTGGGCTAAACCCTTTGCTATTTCAGCCACGTGCTCGAGCTCTATCGGATGCGATGTTGTATATTCAAGGTCCCATGAAAGTAGTGCTCACCGATATATCCTGATTGCAAGCCAAAATGCTGGTCAGCGTCTTTTTGCCGCCAATCACTGGTCTAGAGCGCTTATAGGCGGGCTATAACTGGCCAGCGACGACAGGTCAGAAATAACTATCCCAGGTTTTATTATAATCGTTAGTAACATCCATCGACAGCCTTTATTTATTAGAATCTTAGAGAATACGAACTGTGCAGGCAGCCAACGCACGCTGCATAACATTTGTCTGCCGCAAAGCACGAACGCAGATATTTGCTCGATTCATCAGGAGAACACAATTAGATAAAAACGTGCGCCTCCCCATTATTCTTGCACCGCATTTCCCCTTCGGTCGGAGTCACCACTCGAAGAAAAATGCTCAAGTGCTCCTGATGTAATAGACGACTTCGATCCTTTGACTAAATCTCCCTTCGTATCGCAAAACTTGATGGGTTCCAAATACGCAGTAATATCCGCAATACTGCTCTCAAACGTCAGTATTCAGGACAGTCAAACTCGGGAATTCGCAAAGAGCATTTCTCACCATCATAACACCTTTTAAGGTGTGGAACATGGGGGCCAATGTAACACATGACTTTCCGTCTAGTCCTGGAAGGCATCTATTGGTAAGGAGGTAGGACTGCAAGTTACTACGGCTGTAAGTAACCCGGATCCTTTCACCGACATTCCATATTTTTGCATCTCAGTTCAAAAATAGAACTGCTGTACTTTCAAGCAAAAAACTCGGGGAAGTGTACCTATCACTCGCCGTGAAATCTTAAATTACCTCGTGCAAAATACTTGCAAATACCTGCGTGCAAAGGGGCTTATGTTACCAGCGTATTTCCGTCTGGTTGTACTGACTTGCCGACATCCTGGAGACTTCAACAGTCCATCCCAAAAACTTTCACCATGAGAGAGTTAGCTAGCACTGATGAACTTATGCAGCTTGCCCGACCTCGCAGTGGTTGCTGTCGATTTGCTCCTTACCTTGGTTTACGTACATAATGGTCCTATACATCCTCTTTGCAATGGCGAAATGAGACGGTTATGAAGTATGGGGGATCAGTAAGCTGACGAGGTCTAAGAACGCTTACGACAGCCGGAAAGCGCTGCTGTTGCACGTTTCAAATAGGAAATACCTGGATTCGACACTGGTTTTTAGGTAGACAACTAATGCGTGTGTCTGCCTGCTCTGACAGAAGGCGCCATCTAGCTTCTTACCCGGTCGTTCAGAGCTGACATATACTAGTGATATTCTAAGATGGAGGTTCGTACATGTTCCCTTTAGGGGGGCTCGCACGCACGCCTGACTTCCGGAACAAGGTCAGATTGACGCTTGATGCGTCGCCTTCCCGTCACTTTGGGCAGTGTGATAAATAGCATGATTTTCCGGCCCGTTTATAGAAAACTCGACAGCTTCTGTGGGACTCGAACTCACGACAACAAGGGCAGGGTCTGAGTACATACGACTCTTCCACAATCTGAACAATGAGACCCCGACTGGGAGCCAGGAGTTCAATCACATGTGGGTTTAGTTACTTGCCCAGCCTACTGCAACGTATGGAATCCACCAAATCTGATACATTAAGCTGACAGCTCAGACAGGATTTCCCAAGCAAACAATGTAGAATCCACTAGCAGGCAGTCAAGCTCATTTAATTAATGAAATTAATGACGATACATCACAGTAGGCGGCGTGGGTAACTCGATCCAAATATGGTTAGGCTCATGACGCCCGGTTGAGACCTCGTATCTTAGATGTTAGTGCGTTGATTGTACTCAAGCCTTGGCCTTGCTGCCGTGGCTTCGAACACCACCGTTCCCGCGGAGTTTCTCGCAAATGAATCGGATGAATTATTCAAATCCACCAAAACACCTTTTAAACTATTGCCGAGAGACGGACTGATTGGGAGGAAAGGATTGGGTGAACTGCATATTTAGGGAATCCATACAATATCAGTGAGCAAGTCCTGCGAGGTTCCATCGAACTCAGAACCCATAACAGTTCGGCCGTCGTGTTCAACGAGGTCCACCGTGTACCCAGCAATATGGTGACACAGATAAGCTAGTAGTAGACAGGCGCAGCATCTACCTCACTCTCTCCTCCCCCCCCCACCTGGGGCCGGTGTCAAGACAGAGTCAGGGAGACCGGGGCGAGAGGGTGCAGGTGGCTTGCACGGCGTGAACCCGCACCTAGGCCTACCACCACACCCCCTGGTCCACAACAAACACTGATCAGGATCTTGTACCACAAAAGGGGTAGGGAGTGGCCCGTACCCCAGTGGGCGCGGTGTTAGCTGACACGTGAGGGTTCCATCAAACCCACAATATTGGCATTTGTTATGGGTGTGCATTCTCGATAACGCCTGCCTCTAGCCTCTGCGTCGGTCTATCGCCTCTACCGCGTGACTTGTCTTTAGGGGCACAACCAAGAACCCATAGTGTTTGGGGCATGGGAATAGCAGCAGTCGAGTTCGCACAGTGACCTTGCAGTACTTCATTTTTTGCTCCCAAAGTAAGCTTATCGCGACACGAAGGACAAGCCAACAGCTCATCAAGTCTCCAACCAGGGTGTGCTGCCGACTCTCAGGCGGCATTGTGTCCCACTTCAATACTTTGGATAAGCACCGTAGACAACGTTTATTTCCTCGATCGGTATGACAAAACATAGCCATCCGCAATTTCGGCTTATGTCGATGCTGAACGATGAGGTCGACACCGTCCCCATTGGCGCTTAGGGAAAGACGGTCGTCGGCAAAATGACAGTTACCCTCTCATGGCATACCAAGTTGTACCGTTCAGCCCTCGTTGGCTCCACTTACGCCCAGTCTAATTGGTCCACGAAGTTGTAGGATGTGCAGCGGCTGCATCCCATTAGTCTCCCCGACGGGTCGGCTGGCCCAAAAGGGGATAGTCATTCTGTCTCTACCACTTCGTAGACTTTTCTCTTTGAAGTCGGACTCGCGCGAATTATCGTGAATTTAAAACACCAGATGACCTGGCCGTACGAAGTGGTCATCCCAATCTAACCTCGCCTTGTGTTCGAATCTCATCTGTGGCTCAAATCAAGCCCTCGTACGTACGAAATCCGGTAACCTATTTGATCGACCGAGAAGTCGGCTGAGAGTAATGGTGTTCGAAGTCTGTTGGGGTGAGACAACAAACTAGGCGTCGCGAATGGAGAAGAGATAATGGCCGAGTCCCTCTGTGTGCCTGTCCTTAGAAAATAGTGCAGTTGATGCTGTGTAAGTATTCCTAACTATAAGTCAAGTCATGCGCAAATCACCTTCGCTGTCAGACCACTCAGAATCAACGGCTATCCTCAGGTCCTCTGACCTTGGTCAGGCGGATTATATGAAGGCTTTGGAAACCGTGCTTGTAGGCCTTCACGCCGGCTGGGCTTCTCAGTGGGGTTAAAGTGGAAGTTTTATTGGTATTCGGCCTCATCTGCTGGGCGCTTGCACTCTCTTCTGAATAACATCCGACTGTTTTCGCCCAAAAACCTACTGTATAGAAGGTGATCATCGCCGCCGTCGACCAAACCCGCTTCTGGCGCCATGGATAATGAAATGATAAGGGACCTGAATATACCTTCTTTTGGAAGGGCCTTCGAGTGGGTAAACAACGCGGGACAGAGGCGAAATTTACGTTTCGAAAAAGCTAACCACCCTCAGTAGTGATCAGTAATTGCATGGAGACTGCTTCCTATGCCGCATTTTCATCCCGAACATCAACGCTAAAGCCTTTACGATGACCAGACTCTACAAAGTGGCAGACACGTCCTGTGACACCCTCCACTACTTCATCGTGTTTACACCAAATTCGACAAATCGTGAAATTGTCGGAAAGTTCTTTGCAAACATGGGCGCAGACCATGTCGCCTGAGGAATAACAATCTGTCGAAACGGAATTTTTAACTGAAACAGCAGCAGATTTTTGCCGGGCGCCCACATGGACCGTAACTCCCTCACCACGGGCACTGTCCTTCACTTCTTCAGTCACGACAAAACAACGTGCAATCGCTTACGTGCGCGGCACCGACAATGATAGCGAGGAAATGACCGTGGGGACGTGCTGGTGACAAAACTGAAATATGTTGCCAAATGCTAGGTTGAACACAGTTGTGCGTATGGAAGATAAGACCGCGTACAAAACCACACACACGAACTGCCGAAATTAAAGCTCCAAAGAAGCTGAGCATCACATTATTGGGCAATGCAAGAACAGTGGACTTTCGGGAGTGTAAGTAAGCGTTAACCTTGATCTGCAGCCAGCTCTAAGTGAGATGTTCAGGCCACTTCAGCAGATTTCAAGAAGGAAAGCCCCAGACGCGGCTCAGTTCTCGAGATTCGCAAATACCATACTTTT